TCAAGAGGTCGTTGGATAAAGAAGTATGCTTATTGATTCTACGGAGTAGCTACTTTAAGTTTTAAGTAGTATTTATAGGAGTAGTTACTTTAAGTTTTAAGTGATATTTATAGGGTTGCAAAAACTAAAATACAATTTGTATTAATTATTGGTCTACGGATCACACATGGCCAATGATATATTATTTATTTTCGATATTTACAGGTCTACGCATCATGCAAAAGTTACGTTTTTGATTCATTAATTATCAAAAAATTAAAAAGGTAACTTTGAACTTCTGTCACGTGCATGACAGAAAGTTCAAAGTTCTGGAATTACAGACTCATGGTTAGAGATACCCATATTGACTTTGGTGCAGAAAAAAATACATACCATTTCAGAATTTTTGAATTTGAATATATCTTCTGGAAACATGTTGCCTTGCTCTTCTTTATTCTACCTCATCATACAAATTAACAACCGTGTAAAATTGTGGCTACACGTGTTGCTCAATTTCAATTTTTTCTTATCTAAAAGATGTCTTCAGTCTTTTTCGAGATATACTCATTTTACTGAAAGGTTTGAAAGATATTTTTTAAAAAATTATATTCTATTTTTTTATTCTAAAGCAATAAACAGGACTTATATTTATAATAATTTTGAATTATGTAGTTTATTGTAAAACTGTAGTTTACTGATATTTAAAATTGACAGTTTTTATCTCTAATAAGAATATACCAAACTTTAATATAATGCAGCAACATCATTTTTACATATATGCTTATTAATCTTAAACCATTTCGTATCATAATGTTAACGTTAAATGATATTTATATCGATATTGCATAGCTAGTACATACCGATACTGATACATATTATCGGTTGGTATCAATAGAAAAGGTCAAAACTGGTTTTGGTTCAGAACTAGTTTAGAGGGTCTGTTACATGAAGACAACAAGACCGAGACTAATTTTTAGAGACTGTGCCTAGGTCACTCGCACATTAACCTAAAAATTTATGGCCTATATAAATACCATGAAAAAAATTTCGATATGCATCAATTATTCGTCTCATATTCAAATCAAAAAAATTACTTAGTGTTAGCGTTGGAGTCAGATATATGACAGAATCTTGTACATAGTAGTACAAATATACATACAGTATTTTGCAAACATGCATGCCCACAATTTCATTTTACACCTGATCATGAAATTTGATCGTGAAATTTTTTGACATTAGTGAATTTTGCATTTTCCAACTGTTATAGAGCTTATGATTACTCTGATGTGGGTCGCCGACTATTTATGATAGCATAAATTTGATTTTATCACATAGTGATAGTATAAAGTATAGCATATTTCACCTATTATATAAGCCTATAGAGGACATAGTCTGCGCATAAAATGATGTTTTATAAATCAGTGCAGAATAAGTAATTTTTGCATAATTCGGAGTTGAAGATTTTTACGAGCATATTGGTCAGAGTTACAAATTATATATATAGAAATTTACTGTATAATCAAGTAGTTGAATATTTTATTTGATTGCATAAATCGCATAATAATAAATTATTTTATTCTAAGAATTTTAACACATAATTTCGCATAAATAGACTTAAATTACAAGAAAATTTTGGGGTCAGACGCACCAGAAAGTTGGCGATGAATTTACTAACACTAGCAAATTCTAAAAAAATATATTTGTAACACTTTGTAATAATAATAAATACTGTACTGGTACCTTGAAAATTTAAGCTTAATTTGATTATCATAATTATAAATCTTTAACACAAGAAACTATGAGTACAACATCAGAAACACATGAAATTGATTCGAACTTAGATATTATTAAAAACACTCTAGGTGTAATTGGAGCTATCAGAGACGCAGCACAACCATACTTATCTCTAATTTCAACTGTGACAACTATTATTGCAGAAATATTTAATATTTACGAGAATGTTCAATATAATAAAAATATTTGTAGCTTTTTGATAGACCAAGTCACCGCTACAGAGGCAGCTATTAAAACTTTAAAAAAAAAAAAAAAAAATTAAGAAAAAAATTTTTGTGAAATCGATTACTATAAAACCTTTTTAAAATTCATTGATGTGATAGAAAGGATAAAACAATTCATTAAAGATGTATCAACCATATCTGGGTTTAAAAGGTTAATGTATGTTAATTTAGTTAAAGAAAAGTTTGGATCGCTTATTAATGAATTCAAAACTACCATGAATGATTTATATTTTGCAACAACTCTCTTTAATGACGAACAGAGAGAAATAGATGCAAGGGCCCTTAAATCCGACCTAGAAGAAATGTCAAAAGTAAATTCTTGTTAATTAATAAATTGATGGAATTTCAAGTAATTAATTTGTAAATTTAAATTAAATAGTTTTTGGAAACAATTATCAGTGATGTCATTGATGCTAATCAAAATATTAACAATGTTCTGAAAGAAGTATTAATTATTAAAAATCAATTGAGATTCCAAAATTCTATTACTAAAAACATCAGAGCAACAGAAATAGAGCCAAGAGAATTAAATGACCCTCAAATTGGAAAATCTACTGATACACAAGCCAACAAAGAATCACCTCTCGTTAAGAAACTGCTAAATGAAGCTATTGAAGTCACCTGCAAACATACAAAAATTATAGATGATGATACATCTGAAAGTCAAAAAATTCAAACCCAACTTGCCATATTAGGAAAATTGAAAGATTCACCCAATATCCTTAAATTTTATAGTCTTTCAAAAATTTCAAACTATCAAGTTACGGTTTTTGAATGAGCAGAACTTGGCACTTTTCAAGAATTATATGATGAAAATGATATTGCATAGTGTTCAAAAGTACAAATAGCTCTTGATATTTGTCACAGCCTTGTGTTTTTGCATACCTGTGAAATCCTGCACCATGACATCAGGTGTGCAAATATCCTAGTAAGTAGTAAATTCATTTTAATGACATTATTGCTATTGTTATTATAGAATCAATAGTTGCGAATATAATCATTACAATAAACAAACTAAAACAGATAACTTTATGACTTGAGCCGAAGATAGCAAATTTTAAATATGCTCGTCATGATTCATCACATATAGTAAAATAAATTGTTTAAATAAAATCATACATTGGATGGCTCCTGAAAAATTAAAGAAAACTCCTAAAAATCCCGTGCGATATACATTCAAATGTGAAATAATTAGGTAAATATTCCTTTAATTCATTGAAGATATTAATTATATTTTCTTAATCTATTTTCTTAAATTAGTTTCGAGATGATGCTTTGGGAACTTGCATTTGAAAAAATTTCATATACAAATATAGAAATAAATAAGATTAAGGAGCATGTTTTAAAGAGTAATTGAGAAAAAATTTCTTGGGGAGTTGACCCACCAGATATCCAAAAAATTCAACAAAAATTTGCAAAAATAATAATTTCAGGTAATATATTTTTTACATTTAACTTTAATTTTATTTATTTTGGTTTGCTAAAGTCTTTTTTTTTACTATAAAGCCTGGCAACAAG